TCTTGAATGGTGGGAAAGGGAAGGGGGAAAGGGGGTATCAGCCCCTTTTCTTTTCACATTAGATAATTATTGTTTTTGGGTTATATGTTTTTTTCTTATCACTGGTTAACACTTAGGGTTTGCTAGGCTCAATTACAACTTTTGGTGCAATCCCTTTGACACTTATGCTTAGATCTATGTACTCCCAAGTGTACCTCTCCTCTCTATGCACAATTGAACATAGAGAGGAGAGGTGCCAATTTGGAGCATGTTTTGTAAGATACTGTTGTTTTTTAGACAAATTATTATCAAACTTTACAAAATTAACATTGAATGAACTAAATCATTATGGAATTTCAAGGCAAAGTCTGTAAGATTGGTTGAACAAATAAACTTTTCTTCGAGCCTGTGTCTTTTTGCATCCTATACTCTAACGTGTTTTTGTTGATTTAAATTGAAATTACAATTATCAAAGTATAATACGTATAAGTACGAGGTAAGATCATTCATCCCTCAATAAATCGCATTGAAATAAACTAAACAACAACAACATTCTTTTTGGCAACTTAATTTAACATGACACTGCATCTGTAGCTAAAATTGCAAGTCATAAAGTCCTGTTGATCCCGGAAACCACCTCTGTAAATGTTTTTTTATTTGTTATAGATACTGACCCATGTATTTTTGGAAAAATGGAATGTTTTGGTTGAGGGGATAGGTGGTGCTAATGTTGCTGTGTCTTTTGAGCTATTCTCAAAGATGTATACCATATCAATGCCTAAAACAGGATTAGTTGGAACATTTGCCCTGCTTGATATTGGTGGTAAGATATAGTATCTTTAGTATGCTAAAAGTGCAATGCAATGTTTCATATCGGCATCTGAAAAGCTGTGAGCTGAGAAGACAGTAATAAACATAAAACGTCGATGATTAGTATACTTAGTATGTTACCAATGGCATTTCAGTTTGCAATTACATTATTGCATTGTAAAAGAGAGTGCACGTTGTGTCTAACATACCAAAAATACATTTAAAAACCACTGTCACTTGTTAACAGATTTTTCGATTTTCTAAGGTCTGGATCTGAGAAAATGGTGCGCTCCAAATGCTAATCCACCTGGTATGTTCGCTTCGTTCTACATAACCGTTAACCCATTCAGAGATGTACCCATACTTCAAGACTGGGTGTTCAATTTCGACGTTATTGCTTATGGATTTCTCACTTATGAAGTGTCCGATGACATGGAGAGCCTTCCAACGTATAGTATTTGGAATGATCTACTTGAAGTTCAAGTTATTGTAGAAAATCTCAAGGCTCTAATTACTGAAAATATTGCAAGATTTCTGGAGACACTGACGTCAACCGCAGCTGATATTGTCAACACGTTCAGGGATGCAGTATCCGAACTTATTGACTCGATTAAGAACGCCATCAATGATATCAAAAATGGCAAATTTCCATCAATTCCCGATATAATCAAACCAGTGAAAGATGCAATCGATGACTTAAAAACCATATGGGAAACATTTAAAGATGAAATTGAATTCGACGTCGATGCCCTGAAATCCAATGTTACACAATTTATTGATAATGAACTTGAAAGAATAAAGAACAATACTAAAGTATTGATTGAGAAAATAACTGGCCAAATCATGGATGTGACAAAAAACTATTCCGGATTTGGCTTAAAGGCATATGTTGACATTCAAATATTTGGTCTTCAGTTTCCCTCCCTCGATGTAGAATTTGTGTACAGTGTGGGATCGCTAGGGCAGTGTAGTCGGTTTCAATACATGTATGATCTACTAAAAGGAAAGAATGCATTGCGGGCAATGGCTGTATTTACCTTTCATAAGAAACTTGGATATTTCTTGGAAATAGCAAATGGATATGGATTAGAGATAGCATTCAGCAAGGAAGCAAAAGAAAAAACAATTGTGCACCTTATCGCCAATGCTAATTTCCTTGGTCTAAGAGCACGAGTTGATGTCTTCATATCTCTTTTTAAGCTTGGGTTTGGTTTTGAGGCAAATGTGTTTAACATATTCCGTGCAAGAATCGACGCAGAGGCTTCCGTCCCTGGGTTCACTCCTTTTAAAGATCTACTCTACAAAGTAACTGTTCAGTTTCTACCTGGTGGAGATGATTCGTTTGAAGGAAGCTTTGGTGATGCACTGAGGCGTGCTATTCAAAACATTGCAAACGCAGCAAATGATCGTTTAACTGCTGCACAGAATGGACTTGCAGCAGCAAGAGGTGGTCTCACCAGAGCTCAGCAATGGTAAATAGCAATAGCAAGTATCATAGTACGCTGTGTTAAAGTCTTGTGATGATACAAGAAGTATTGCAAAGTGGAACACTTTACAAGTACTTGATGTAGACCGCAAACCGATAATTTACTTATTTCATTATATCATATCGTAGTTTATCATATCTAATATCATATTATATTATAATATGTTATATTATATTATAATCTATTATATTGTATTATATTAAAGGCTCGAGTCGAAAAAGAGTGACGTCGACAAAGCTAATGTTGTATTCGATAGAGGCATTGAAGGACTAGAAAGGGCAAAGGAAGCTGTTGAAAGAGCAAAGGGTCCATTGAAAAAAGCGTTAGCCAAATTAGATGCAGCTCAAAAGAAAGTTGACAACCTTTGTAGGATTACAGATTGTAAGCCCTGGTGTATTCCAGGGATCAAATGCAAAATTTGTTGGAAGAAAGTTTGGTTCATTAAGATTCCATACCCATGTTGCGATTGGACAAGGTGTATGATCAAAATTCCAAACCTCCTCTGTCTAGCTAAAAACGCAGCATGCTGGGTGGTTAGAAAAATTGCTTATGTTGTTCTTGAGGTAGCCAAATTTGGCGTGAGGGTTCTTATGCTTCCATTTGACCTTGCAAAGGCAGCTCTTAGTGTGGCCCAGATAGTCGTCGACAAAGCCAGGGTTGTATTAGAGGTTGCCAAAGGAATTCTCACTCTTGCTCAGATTGGGCTGGAAGGAGCTAAAGGCATTCTAAGAGGGGCTGAACTGGCTCTCGAGGCAGTCAAAATAGCAGTTAGAATAGGTCTTAAACTCGCTGGGTGGATAATCCAATTTGGTCTACAGAGTCTAATAGATATTAAAAAATGTGGATTCTCGGTTGAACTATCTACTAAAGATCTGTTCGTTATTGATGTGTTTTGTGAAATTAATGCATTTAGACTCGGCTGGAGGAAAATAAATATAACTATCAATTTCCGCAATTTATTAGAAACACTATGGAATGCAGCGAAAGCTGTCATCAAATACCTAACAAGTTTAATTTCTTTTGGACGTAAGAAGAGGGAAATAGATTATAGACAGGCACACATTGTTCATAGATTGTATCGAAAGCTTCGCAACGTTGATGCCTTGGACTTATTTCTGATGGTATAGATAGTGATATTTTGGCAAACATTGTGAACAGTACGATTGATGCAACAGAAGAATATGAAACACCAAATAAAACTGCAGATGAAGATGAAACTACCATAAGAATAGAAGATTTCAAACGAAAATGTGAAAAATTCAAAAGAATTGAGGAGTTTCTCACTGGCGCTGCCCAGTCTCTTTTTGAAATAACAAGTGAAACGATACAAGGAATTGATGATTCTAATGATGATTTTAACAGAAATGAACAAAACTCTTCAGACATAGGTTCTATTGGGATCAATTTGGATGAACTAACAATTGACGATTTGGGAAAGCTTGGCATCAATGTTACCGATGCATTTATAAACTATGGAATAACTCCTGAACAATTGATTGCGTCAATAAAAGAGGCAAATATTGATCAAGATGAGTCTGTGAACGAACTGGGTACCACGATTGACCAGGCGAACATTGAAAGCGAAAAACAACTACAAAACGCAAAAAGTTTTCCCCTTATGTTGCTCTGGCGAAATGCGATGGAAAATGCAACTGCCACCTTTTGGGAGGAAGATAGATGCAATGGATTCAAAGATTGTATGCTTGTTAGTTTCTCTGAACTATTTGACTTGTATAACTTTACAGATTCACCCGGGGCAGAAGAAATTAAATACTTGACCCTTGAACTAGCTGAATTATTTTCTGAAATCATTGACAGTGAAAATATTTCAAATTTCAAGGCAATGGAATTGTCGGATAACATTTTGAAAGTACTCAAAATCGCAAAGGAGAAAAAAGTGTTTTGCGCTACAGCTCCTCAAATTACAATACCAACTGAAGTTAAAGTTAAACCTGACAAAAAGGTTGTCATTGTTTGTAAGACAACAGGAGACCCGAAACCAGACATATATTGGGAACGTGATGGGGAACGCTTTAATGGATCAAACGGCGATACTATCGATACAATTGCAAGCTTGGATTCTGAAGGAGAGTATACATGCGTAGCATCTAATCACATTGCTACGGTCAGAGCAAAGGTTTATATTCGTTTAGTCGAGTCACCTACTATTGCCGAACATCCTAAATATACGATGACTACAGTTGGGAATCCTAGTGGTGCAGAATTTCATTGTGTTGCTAATGGTATACCAAAACCAACTATCACATGGAGACGGGTACTTGGTAGTGGAAAGAGTGAAAAACTGAATTTGACTGGTGAACAATTAGTGATATCGTCTCCTAAACTGTCTGACGCGGGCAAGTATTTATGCGTAGCAAAGAACAGTCGCGGTACTGTGTGGTCTAACCAAGCAAGACTACGAGTAATGGCAGCTAGAATAGCATTTCCTGGTGCTTTTCTGAAACTCGGCTATATCAAAGTGAATGAAGGCTTTAACAGCACTCACACGGAGTACAAGCGACCCTTGGTGTACCATAAAAGAAAAAGGCCATACATAAAATGGGCAATTAGGAAGATTTTGCGAGAGACAGAAGAACCTTCCTTGGTAGTCCTACATAGTCTTACCTGCAATGCTAATACTGATGGTGGAACTATCAACCTACAACTGCGTATCGGTGAATACAAAAGTATTGATGGAAAAGATTACTATGACATGCAAGCTGTATTCAAAACATGGTCGAATTTGTTAGACGGAATATTGAAAAGATTTGAGGAATTATCCGACAATGAGCAGATTTTGACTAAACGGACTGATGTTGAAATATATTATGCCTTGGATCGCTCGCAATTCGCTGCAACACGAAAGACAAAGTGTCCCTATGGACACGAACTGTACCCGGATGACATATGGAATATGATATGTGGTGAGTATTCTTTCTTTCCGATCACTAATCATCAGAGCTACAATTCAAATGACCACCTAAGTTATAATTGTTTGCAACTTACAGCGGTATATTTCTTTTGTATTAATTTAAGTATTCTTAATAATTGCTGTACATTTCTTTTGTATTTCTAGTTCCATGTCACAGAGATACGTCGTTCACATTGGTTGGTCAGCGTAAGTGGCGCTGCATTCGAACATTGAGGAGAATGAAAGCGTAAGTAAATAATTGATTGATGCTGTATCATACTAAAAGTTAATTTTATCCAAACTTTTGCAATGAACTCCTACAGTATTTTTCGAAGGCGCTAATTCTATGGATCATATTTAATTCTCCTCGTGTTTTTACGGGCTGTTATCCATGATAAACTCATAATTTGACCTATTTTTACAACTTGACTTCCCTTTGAAAGAGGACCATATGAGCCAACCGTATAGTGCCATTTTGATAATAGATGATAGTATTAGTCCTAATTAATAGATTAACTAATTAAGTAAGTATAGCGTGTCTGCATTTTGTATGATCTATATTGTTAGTTAACACTTTTGTTTCAGGAGAAATAAGGTGAACAGCAAGTCATATGCTGAAGGCGATGACTTCGACATGGCAGAGTCTATATTCGACACTCTCTGAAGAGGACTCGTGAAAAAGAACGATTGGGACGTTTTATTGTTAACCTATGTTCGGCATCATATTGAAACCAATTTATATTAATAACTTCAAGTTAAGATGCCTCAAAATGCTTTTATTCCAGAAAATGTATTGTATGTTACGCGGTATATGGCATACATTCATGGTTGCGCGGTATTTGTGATATGGGTGAATATGCCATACTCACCTGCGGTATATGGCATATTCCGCAGGTGAGTATGCAATATTCCGCAGTGAATATGCGATACATTGATTTCAGTGAATACCCGATGGTTACCTGCGGAATATGTCATACTCACTTGCGGAATATGCCATATACCGCAGGTGAAAACGTGATACAGAAAGCCTTGATTTGATTGGTTGCGAGAATCGACTCTAAATGTAAAACTTCGCTGGATTACCAATATAGTTAGTGCGTCGAGTACTAATATATGAATCCTGGATTGATTGAGTAAGTTTACTACGCGAGATTGGTGTCTGGTACTTCTGCTAAGTTAATATATTCGACACACAGTACTGTTGATTCAGTAATCATTATAATAATTTATAACGTTTTACTTGTTCGTTCAATCGATGCAATTGACAATTGCGTACTTCCGTATCACGTTCTTATTGGTAAGTGTGTATGCCATATACCGCAGGTAAATCTGTCACACACCACAAGTGAATATGCCATATTCGTTGCGGAATATGACATATTTTTGTATCGTGTTTACCGCGTAACATTGTACAGGGTGGGCCAAAAAAACCAATACCCAACTTCAAATCAGGATAAAAATAGTTACATTTAATATGGTACATTGACTTACATATCATTTTAAAGGTTATACAATTTCTAACAATTTGGTATATAACACTATGTCATGAAATCAATAGTAAAGTTTTATTAAACTTATTTGGGAGGCCGGGTTGCTATTTAAGGTCTCCAGATTTGAGGGAGAAAATAGTAAATCTGCGGAATTATGTTAATTTTCTATTTATAGAATATCATTCTTTTGTAAGGTGAATACATGCTTGGATATTGATATTTGCATCATTGTGTGACTAAATTTATTGTTTATGAATTTCAGTGTTGTTTAATAACATTTTACACTTTATCTATTTAAACAATTTTAATAATTGCTCAATATACCCCACCCCCTCCCCTCTGCATCAACAATAAGCTTCAAGTGGTAGCGCAATCTATCAATAGCCTTATTGAGAGATTTCTGTTACAATTCATTTCAGCACTTTAGGATTCTGTTTCAGCTCATCACTGCTGTTTATTGGATGCTTTTGATTGTACCATTTCCTCGAGATGGCTCCATGTATGGTAATCAAACACATTAGCATCGGGGCTGTTGGGTGGCCAAGCATCGGGATCAATCAAATTGACACTTGTTTGCAAAGAAATGACAATATCTACTTTGATCTATGGTACGAGGTAATGTCTTGTTGGAAAATAAAATCCTCGTCACATATACGTTTAATGTCTTTTAACACACCCTTTGAGTACTTATTGATAATAAACAACACTAAAATTCATAAACAAAAAGTTTAGTCACACAATATGCAAATATACAAGCATGTATTCACCTAACAAAATGATATTCTATAAATAAAAATGAACATTATTCCGCAGATTTACTATTTTCTCCCTAAAATCTGGATACCTTAAATACCGACCTGGCCTCCCAAATAAGCATAATAAAACTTTAATATTGATTTCATGACATAGTGTTATATACCAAATTGTTCGAAAATGGATTACCTTTAAAATGATATATAAATCAATGTATCATATTGAACATAGTTATTTTCATTCTGATTTAAAGTTGGGTATTGGTTTTTTGGCCCACCCTGTATATGTACACGTTTTTTATTCCTCATAAAAACGTCGGTACACTAGAAATATAATATACTCGTACAAAACCCTACTCGGGAAGATATTTCTATCCAAGAATGGCTTTAAAATAGTGATTGCGGAGCCTTTGTAAGATAATGAAAAGTTGCTTAATATCAAAGAAAATGAAAAAATGGTGACGGTGATGATGTGAACTCTGACTGTAATCTAACGGAGATACTGAAGGAGCCTAGGAACCATTTGCAAGACGTTTACTATTAATACCATTTAATGAATATATATTTCATGATGATCAATGTTGCATAATATATGATCGATGCTATTAACATAAGAATGCATTCTTTATCATTATCCAGGATATTTTCGAATAAATATTGCAAAGCAAAACTTAGTTTAATTCTTTTTATGACTGTAGTTCCCATATATCCACACGGGACACACCCAGTCTCCTCCGTTATGAAATATATCAACGTTTCAGTTATGCTATTTACCAGAGGGTGTCAGTGAACTCCAATCTCCATATCAAATTTCATAGCAGACAGATATTTTACTGTGATTTGTTATCACTTTAAAAATGTTTTCTTACACGTCAGCTAATTTTTCAAATCTATTGTAACGGAACTGAATCAGTATTATATATTATGCTATCTGATATCATCTCGTCGGTAAAAATCATATAACACAAAATAATCTCTGTAATGGTTAAACTGTTCAACGAGAGCTGTTCTCCTTTTTTTCATTTACCCTGGCCTTTTGAAGCCAATGAAATATATATACAGGGCCGATCCAGAAGTCCTGATAAAAATGTTATAACTTAAAAGGTTTCCATTCATTTTGCACAATATTTTAAGAGTATCTGGGTCATTCATTTCCTCAAAGGTTATAAAAATTTACATTTTGGTAAAAAATACTTATGTTTTTTTTTTGACCTTTTTTTTTTATTCACAAATATTAAACATGTACAATAACATAACAATACAATAAATTGCGTATAAGCAGGATTCACAAAAATTGTTTTACAAAAATATTGATAAAGATAAATGTTGTTTTTTTCAAAAGTTCTTGATGATGTTTTCAATCCATACAGACAAATTGTAGTCCTTTTTTATGAGTTTAAATAAGCAGGAATAATATTGTAAATTGTTCGAATGTCAAATAGTTTCCAACTGTTATTGTCTTCTGAAAATTTACACCAGTTGTTATATATTGTGATACCTAAAATTGTTATAATGACATTCCTGAAGTTTGTGATGTTATTACCAGATAAAAATCCTATAACAATACGTTTATACATGATTTCACATTTTAATTGTAAACCTAATTCTTGCGTATAAGCAGGATTCACAAAAATTGTTTTACAAAAATATTGATAAAGATAAATGTTTTTTTTTCAAAAGTTCTTGATGATGTTTTCAATCCATACAGACAAATTGTAGTCCTTTTTATGAGTTCACATTTTAATTGTAAACCTAATTCTTGCCATATATGTTTTACTTTTTTACATTCATATAACATGTTTCATATCATGAGTTTTATTGCATAAAAGACACATGCTTATGTTTATACTTATGTTTATGGTTGCTATGGTAACCTCAATAACGGTATAGCGGGACAGGGTAATATTTGTGTAAAACGCGACCGAATAGAGCCATAGATTTCAACATGTTTGACTACGACAACATTACACCAGGACAACATCAAACACCAGGACAACAGCATGTCACAAATCTGGCATTGTGTACAACATTATCAGCAATAAGTTAAATATGGAAGTATTTCTACATTCTCCATATTCCCCAGATAATGCTCCCTAAAAAGGGATCCAAGTGTCTCATATTTAGCACACTTGTTGAAATTTAGAATGCTGTCGACATCTCTAGAAGAACTGCAAAATGTGTACAATTAGTGGGTGGATAGATACCAGAATGTATTAATGCAGTGTTTTAATGAAGAAGGACATTATTTTGAGTATTTTCATTAAACTTTATCTCAAATAGGCGTTCACAGTTGGATTTAGTGTTTCAGATTTTCAATAAAAGTTATGACGCCAATATGAGCTGGTCCTGGACCAAGTCCTGTACCAAGTGCCTCTACCACGGGGTAGTAAAATGTGATTATAGAATTTTCTGTCGATCAATCATTCTGAAAAGACCCCGCTGTATAGTATATTAACTTTTTACACAAGTATCATTGATATATGGTCATGTATTTATGATGTAAGACATGTGACTTTCTAAACCCCAGATTTCTATTCTGGGGTACGTAATGTACACCCCCCTCCATAAGTTTAATCATTTTCATCTCCTATGTTACATGTATATAAATGGGAGAAGTTTCTTGAAAAATAATTTTGAATTTGGAGACCTATTACTTTTTAAACCTGACGAAGAAACATCTATTTTGTTTTAGATAAAGTGGGCAAATATAATTAGCTACTTAACTTGAGAGAACTCGGGTGGATGGATATTCTATTATATGACTTGTGACAAACCTACCATTTCCCATTGGTTTACATGGAAATGTCAACTTTCAAAACTTCATTAAATTTGTCATAAATTTTGACTTATTGTTATTGAGAAAACAATTTAGAAAATTTGGAGGTATATGAAATGCAGTCAAATTACATAACTTTTTGCATTAGTTTATTCTTTGCAGGTTATGAAAATAAAAATTCAAGCATATGGAGGCTTTAACAGGTAAGCCTATATAGGAAAAGAAGGTTGCCAAACTAATGGAGGGGAATGTAAATAATCGATTGATATTAACATGACTCATTCAAACTTCATATGGTTTGATGGGGTTAATATATACAGTGTACCAAAGTTTTTTCAGATGGCATTTTATATCAGTTGTATACAGCTTTTTATGAAGTTTGAACGATCCTAACAATGATTGAGAACAATACAATTAATATATCATGGGTTTATTAAGTACATATGCAATTCACTATAGTGTATACATTTTATGTATGATCAAACTTGTGATTGAACCATAAAAAGTGAATATAACGCACAGTGTATCATTATTATGTTATGAGGGTAATTCAAAAGGTTTTGAACGAGAACTTTTTAAGAGAAGAGATGCTGAGATTCTATTATTTTTTATACAGATACCTTTCGTTAATAATTTTGGGACCATAATCCATGTATTACTTGCCTGATACTCTTTCTAATTCTCAAGCATGCATTTGATCAATGATGGATTCTGCTTCTAGTTTCACATAGGATTGTTTGGAGATTTATCCTCCGATAATTCACAACTCCATTAGATATGTTTAAAATCTTCGTCAAACCATGTGATTATAAAACATCTTGAAGTAACACATAGTATGCTTAATGTCATCACGAATAAAGGAAATAATGATTCATTTTGTCGATGATGCCATGTTTGACTTAGTTGAAAAAGAAAACAGCTAAGAGCCATAAGGGAAATAAACCCTAACTATCCAAATCATAATCCTACGTGAAAAGAAACATAAAAAGAAAAAGAAAAAAGTTACCATTATCACAATCTGAGACCGTAATACCAGGTAACATTTCATTCATACCAAAGTTATTAGAATATATGTTGACGAATAAATTTAATTGATAACATCGAAAAAAGGTGGATATATTAAATCATTCTTGTATTCATACAGGATTCCAGGAAAGAGCATTCCGTCTCAAATGAAATATTCGCCCAAGTTATATTACTTGCAAGTATCTCATTTTACATCAATGATATCGACCGATCATCATTAAATCACCATAAATAACCATAGCAATTGCAGTTGCTATAGATAGATTAGATAGACAGATTGGGGACCCAGCTATCAAATATGATCACATTAGTTTATTAAATGTCCTATCATAGTTAGACATTTTTGTGTAGAACTTATTGAATTAACCTACTCATTCATGTATATCTGCACGTATTCGCTTTCACGGCAACGTTCAAATGATACGTAGTGCATTGCTAATTAAAAATAATTTAGAATATATCCATTGAAACTGTGTTTTACATTTGTAAAATCAGCTGAAGCTCAACGAGATAGATGCTCACCTAACGGAGCAAGCAAGTAAGTTTCTTGTGGATTGCTACCATAAGTTACAATTTTTGTATATTGCATGCATCATATGTTATACATTATACATATCCTTGTGTTTTAGGATGACACGTGCTATCATCTTGTTAATGTTGTATTCTATCACACGTTCCCTTGGTTTTGGTCAGGAAGACTTAATCAGAGGTGTGATTCGAAGTGTGCGGAGTAAAAGTGGTAATCATAAATAATCAAATCACTAACTGTTATAAAGGATAAGCTAGTAACTTGAAAATATAATATATATAAATAAGCTGTATAATTTTATTCATCAACTTCTTTCCTCTGTTTCAGATGACTGTATTGACTGCATGTGTAAGGTAGGCCTATATCTTATTTATCTTATTTTATATATTGATATTGTTATGATGACATCAGAATGAAAATAATACTCGTATTCGAGGACCATAAAGGATGCTACTTAGAGGTTTAAAAATGTTTGATTTTTTTATAATAGTTTTGTGAGATTATAACGGGAAAAAGATATTAAGACTTTACAAACCATAAAGTTAGTTAATCTTTTTTAAGCTTGAGGCACCTAAAGTGTCAATATTTGACAAAGATAGACTCGGCACGTCCTCATCGATCCCATTGGAAAAGTAGAGATTCACCCTAAAAAAAATCTTGGAGTTTTTAACTTTTTTTTAAAAGCACAGCGAAACAGATAAATTATGTTAGGGGTTGGTGTTCATCATTTTTATGTAATCGCCAGGCGATTGTTATACCTTTTTGGAAGGTGTTCGGCTGTCAATTTCCAACAAGTATTAACATAAGCATGTTAAGAGTTCCACAACATTTCTGTCAATATATGTTACCATGGCAAAAAACAAGTCGACATTGAAGGTCAAAAGAGGTTTGACCTTTGGTTGACCTTCAATGTAACTCGAAAAATAAAAAAGGTTGTTAACAGCTGAAATTCGTTATCATTCTGTCTTTTGCAAAATACTTCATTGCTGTGTGATTTCTGTGATATTGTATTTTTAAAAAAATCATCGGTGGTATAAATGACGTATAATCCGATTATTTTATCTTCACAACTTTATAACGTATATTTTGTTGTAGGCATCTGGTTGCGAGAAATATCTTGGTAAATGTACCAACGACCAGGGGACTTGGAGATGCGGTCCAATGTGGATAAGTGAAGCTGTTTGGAACGAATGTGGAAAACCAAAAGGAGGTAGGTTACTGTGAGAAGTAAACACCATTCAATGCTCTTTTTGGGCAAAACTTAAAAAGTATTCAATCAACTTTGCTGAAACTGTACACTGATGTGTACAAGTTTCAACAGATTGAAACACATCTTGTTAAAATGAATAAAAACGGCAGTTGCTTTTATTGCAAAAAAATATAATCGCTTTTGTTTTAATGCACCTTCACCATTTGAGCCTATTACCCATGGTACTATTTATTTTTAAATGCATCTATTTCTATTTTAGACTGGAAATCCTGTGCAAGGGATTCTGTAACTTGCTCAAAGGAGTGTGTGAAGAACTACCTAAATACATATAGGACGCGTTGCACGGGAAAACCTGCTGACCAAATTACTTGTGAAGAAGATGCGAAACTTTATATGACAGGTCCACCAAATGGATGCAAAAGTACATCATATTCGGCAACAAACTATTGGATTTCCGTTCAAAAATGTTTACCCGTATCAAAGCCATGTAAGCGAAAATGTGTCCATTTTTATAAAATATTCGTGAAGACATTTTTTCTCTTTGAACATGAAACTGCACATTTTGGCCCTTTAAAGCGACGACAAGGGTAGCTATAGGCCCTACTTTTTCTAGCGTATACCATCTAATTTACGAGTATTTTTTATTGATTTTGTTATCCGGCTGTATCGACTCTCTTTTCATAGAGGTAATAATATGCACTCTTAACAATGCAAATTTGATTTTAAAATTTGTAAGGCGAGTCCCCTCGAAGACGTACATGTAGCTTGCAAAGTACAAATGGTAAATGATTATTTAAGCACCAACCACACCCCTTGATTCGCATGGTTCCAGATGCTCTGACATCAGTGTTATAACCACATTGGAAGTCCAATATGTTTACTATCTGTAAAGCCAAGCAAGTAGCCAGTAACTTCATGAGATAATTTGCTGCATAATTGTCAACAACTTCTTATTCTGTTTCAGATGATTGCATCGACTGTATGTGTGAGGTAGCTATAGCTTTTATCATATTTCCTATATCGATAGTGCTGTTTTGATGACATTAAAATGAAAAAATACACTAATTTGAGGACCATTTAGGAATGTGTTTGACTTTGTTAATTGATTAAAATACCTCAAATTTTGACATTGAATTTAATTCTGCCGAAAAAGACCTGAATGGCTTAGTGATTTAGGTATTTCAACATTGACAAAAATCGTCAGTGATATAAAGAACATATATAAGTACTCGGACTATTTCATCTTAAGCACTCCATAAGGTATTTTGTTGTAGGCATCCGGTTGCCAGAAATATCTTGGTATATGTACCAACGACCAGGGGACTTGGAGATGTGGTCCAATGTGGATAAGTGAAGCTGTTTGGAACGAATGTGGAAAACTTAAAGGAGGTAGATTACTGTGCGAAACGTAGCTAAAAGCTACCAAAACACCATTTAATGTTTTAACAGATCTTTTCAGTCAAAACTTGAAAAGTGTTCAATTAATTTGCTTGAAATTGTACGGTGGTATTAATAAACAGCAAGATATCTTGTAAAATTTATAAAAATGGCCACCATTATTGTTGCAAAACATTTACACTCGCTCTTTTGAATGCACTTTCACCATTTGAGCCCAGTACCCATGATACTATTTATTTCTAGACTGGAAGTCCTGTGCGAGAGATTCTGTTACTTGCACAAAGGAGTGTGTGAAGAACTACCTAAATAAATATAGAACACGCTGTACTGGAAAACCTGCCGACCAAATTACTTGTGAAGAAGATGCGAAACTATATATGGCAGGTCCACCAAATGGATGCAAAAGTACATCGTCCTCGGCAACAAACTATTGGATTTCTGTTCAACAATGTTTACCCGTATCAAAGCCATGTAAGTGAAATGGTTCCATGTTTATAAGATATGACAATATTCGTGAAGATATTTTTCTCTTGCTATATAGGCCATACTCTTTCTAGCGTAAACCAATTAATTTACGAGTATTTTTTATTGAAAGTCGAAAACGTTCACTATCTGTTTATCCAAGAACGTAGCCAGTAACGTTATGAAATAATTTGCTACATAATTGTCAACAAATTTTTATTCTGTTTCAGATGATTGCATCGACTGTATGTGTGAGGTAGCTAGGCTTTATCATATTTCGTATATCGATAATGTTGTTATATAACATCCAAATGAAAATATTCACAATTTCGAGGACCATTAAGGAGTGTGTTTGACTTTTAAATTGATTATTAGGCCTTTAATTGTTGTTTGAATTTTATTCTGCCGAAAAAGACCTGGCGATTTGGTATTTTAGCATTGATAAAAATCGTCGGTGATATAAAGAACCTATAGATATATTAGTACCCGAACTATTTCATCTTAACCACTCCATGAGGTATTTTGTTGTAGGCATCCGGTTGCCAGAAATATCTTGGTAAATGTACCAACGACCAGGGGACTTGGAGATGTGGTCCAATGTGGATAAGTGAAGCTGTTTGGAACGAATGTGGAAAACTTAAAGGAGGTAGATTACTGTGAAAAGTCTAGCTAGAAGTTACCAAACACCATTTAATGTTCTTGTCAAAACTTAAAAAGCAAAAAAATTATAATCGCTTTTGTTTTAATGCACTTTCGCCATTTGAGCCTATTACCCATGGTACTATTTATTTCTAAATACATCTATTTCTATTTCAGACTGGAAATCCTGTGCAAGGGATTCTGTAACTTGCTCAAAGAATTGCGTGAAGAACTACCTAAATAAATATAGGACGCGTTGCACGGGAAAACCTGCCGACCAAATTACTTGTGAAGAAGATGCGAAACTATATATGGCAGGTCCACCAAATGGATGCAAAAGTACATCGTCCTCGGCAACAAACTATTGGATTTCTGTTCAACAATGTTTACCCGTATCAAAGCCATGTAAGCGAAATGGTTCCATGTTTATAAGATATGGCAATATTCGTGAAGATATTTTTCCTCTTGCTATATAGGCCATACTCTTTCTAGCGTAAACCAATTAATTTACGAGTATTTTTTATTGAAAGTCGAAAACGTTCACTATCTGTTTATCCAAGAACGTAGCCAGTAACTTTATGAAATAATTTGCTACATAATTGTCAACAATTTTTTATTTTGTTTCAGATGATTGCATCGACTGTATGTGTGAGGTAGCTAGGCTTTATCATATTTCGTATATCGATAATGTTGTTATATAACATCCAAATGAAAATATTCACAATTTCGAGGACCATTAAGGAGTGTGTTTGACTTTTAAATTGATTATTAGACCTTTAATTGTTGTTTGAATTTTATTCTGCCGAAAAAGACCTGGCGATTTGGTATTTTAGCATTGATAAAAATCGTCGGTGATATAAAGAACCTATACATATATTAGTACCCGAACTATTTCATCTTAACCACTCCATAAGGTATTTTGTTGTAGGCATCCGGTTGCCAGAAATATCTTGGTAAATGTACCAACGACCAGGGGACTTGGAGATGTGGTCCAATGTGGATAAGTGAAGCTGTTTGGAACGAATGTGGAAAACTTAAAGGAGGTAGATTACTGTGCGAAACGTAGCTAAAAGCTACCAAAACACCATTTAACATGTTTAATGTTTTAACAGATCTTTTAAGTCAAAACTTGAAAAGTGTTCAATTAATTTGCTTGAAATTGTACGGTGGTGTTAATAAACAGCAAGATATCTTGTAAAATTTATAAAAATGGCCACCATTATTGTTGCAAAACATTTACACTCGGTCTTTTGAATGCACTTTCACCATTTGAGCCCAGTACCCATGATACTATTTATTTCTAGACTGGAAGTCCTGTGCGAGAGATTCTGTTACTTGCACAAAGGAGTGTGTGAAGAACTACCTAAATAAATATAGAACACGCTGTACTGGAAAACCTGCCGACCAAATTACTTGTGAAGAAGATGCGAAACTTTATATGGCAGGGCCACCAAATGGTTGCAAAAGTACATCGTCCTCAGCATCAAACTATTGGAATTCCGTTCAAAAATGTTTACCCGTATCAAAGCCATGTAAGCAAAAGTTTTTCCATCTTTGTAAGATATGGCACTATTCGTGAAGATATTTTTCTCGTTACATGAGAGTCTTGCATTTTGTCCATAAAATGAGTCTTTCGTGCACTGTGTACTGCAATAGTGGGTACTTGCTTCAAGATGATGGTGTGATCTGCATAAAAGGTAAAATATGTAAATTAAAGATGTATTTACTTTTATAGCAGATATTGACGAGTGCAAGCTAGGGACTTCTCGGTGTGCACATATATGCATTAACACACTGGAGTCCTACAGATGTTCGTGTCAGGCTGGATACACTCTTCATCCAGACGGGTTTTCATGCAATGGTAAAGCATATTTTCCATGTTTTTTCCTTTCAAATTAAAGGCTGACGGATCTAATAGAACAGCCTTTACACGACCCTTACTGCCCACTCAAGAATCGTTACGGCTGAAAGTTAAAAACTGAAATAAATTGCTTACTGTACTTTATATCTCCAAATGTTTCCTACATCCCCATCCTCCGTTATCAGCTACTTTTGTGCCAATCGGGACTTCTCTTAATCCTCGAGTGGATATTTTCTGTCGAGAAACCAAAATGGCGGTTTTGACGGAAATTCAGTAAGCCTTCAAAATTTTCGATTGAAATCTGATTAGCTGTAGGGCATGCGAGGTAAATTACATTTAAACATTATATAAACATTGTCATCAGAATTCCAAAATACCACTTACCCGTTTGATCTGAAGTCGAAATTCATTTTTTGGAGTCAAATTGTTAGCTTTATTAAAAAGACCTACTGATGTCTGAAAAAATGACATTTTCAACTTCGAAGGTCAAGGTCATCAAACTAGGTCACAATTAAACGATGTTATCTTAGTTTTTCAAATGCGAGACTATAAGTAAATTATACGGTGACTATTTTTCTCATCAAAGTGAGATATTTGGCATTGTGTCTTGCTGATAAAAGGAAGTTATATATATAACTGAAGAATACGTTCATAAATAACCCTGTCATTTTTGTGACAAAACCACAGAAACGGTAAATGTTTGACTGTCTGGAGGAGCAACACATTTCTCTGGACATCTGAACTCCAAATTGACATACAGAGCAAAACCCAAACTGCATCAGCCCTTTCATAGTGGAGGCTGCACTTCCCTTAAACACATTACACGGCAATTTATTATTTCTATTCGTTCGAAATGTCAACGAATTACTGTTTCAAAACGAGGCTGTCAGCATGCATTTGGAAAAAATAGGTTCATATCGCTGTTTTCTATTCCTGGTTACATCTTAGATGATAATGAGAAAACGTGCAAATATACAACCAAACCAAAAAAGAATGGTCAACTAGCTTATATTGACACTATATTTCAAAGGCTAAACAGAACCATGATCTATCCCATCTTTAAAAAACAGGAAAATTTCATTTCATTATCTCATAATATATTTAGACGAAGATGAATGTACCCAAGATCCTTGTGACCAAGGCTGTAGCAATACTCCTGGATCATACAAATGTTATTGCTACGCCGGATTCGCACTTAGCAGTAATGGGAGAACTTGCTCAGGTAAGGGTATGTGTGCATCCTTGCTACCAATATTATGCATTTTATATCGAAAAAGAGTTAAAGGTTCTGGGTGAACCTTAAATCAAAATTTCATAGTGCTACTTACCAATCAATTTGACACTCCGTCGAAACTCAACAAAACTTGATATAGGAGATATATGAGTTACATTTGAAAAAGAAATGGCAATTGCTATTGTACCTTTAACCTCATTTCAAATATATTTTTGCTTTGGTTCACCTTTGCATGCTCTGGTTAAAGATGTTGATGAATGCCAAAACAATAACGGTGGATGCGATCCGGATTTTATGAAATGCATCAATTACATTGGCTCATTTGGTTGTGAGTGTCTCAATGGATATACATTTCAAGACGAAACAAGTAAAACATGTGTAGGTAAGTCAGTATGTAAGACTCGACATGGAAGAATGTACAATTCGTGATTTTATTTCCATGAAAGAATGTAAATACCCCTCGTATACCGACCTTTATTTTTTTATAAGAAATATACTTGAAGATATCATTCAGATAACAAATTAACAATACAAAGATTTTCACTGTAGTCATATTTTTATGTATAATATCTTTTTTCTTGAGAGATTGTTTTAAAAGACTGAAACATGAACCAGCGTAATACCATGACTGTTTTATTGTGTCCTTCCCTGTTATTACTTGGAAAACGTCAGATAAAATGTTAATAAAATGTAATTAAAACATGGTATAGATATTGATGAATGCCTGGATTTCAATGCTGGATGTCAGCAGATTTGCAAGAACTCCGCTGGTTCGTATAGCTGTGACTGCAATTCTGGGTACTTGCTTCAGGATGATGCTGTGACCTGCGCAGGTACGAATATCAAAAAGGACGTTTCATGTTGAACGATTTTAGATGTTTTGATGATTTATTTTTTCAAACATACCCCCCTTTACAAGTAGGATTGGCTCCCAGGGTTCCAACTCGATATTCTGTCAATCATATATGGAGATGACGTGATTACAAAAGTCGAATTAAAGTAGCCGCCATTTTGTTCACGTTAAAATTTGAATCGCAAGTTTTGATCTTATTACCAGACACAAATCAAAAACACACAAGAAGTGATTAAGATATTGGTTCGAATTCGGACTCTTGATTATAAATTTATAGTCAGTTATAAATTCAGAAAATAATGACATTCTGACATTTTTATTGTTCGAAAATATCGAGTTCCGTCCCTAGGAGCACACCTTCCTTGCCCCTTGATATTGTTCAAAAAGAAATTGAATAAACATGATACTTTGATCGGTTGCAGACATCGATGAATGTGCACAAGACTCAGATGGTTGTGCGGAAGGCTGTGTGAATACCCCTGGCGGATTTAGGTGTACTTGCAAGCCTGGTTTTTCTCTTGAAAGTAATGGGAAAGCGTGTGCAGGTATATAACGAATATTCATCTTGATTTTCATCTCAACTCTTATTCATCTAACATGTGGGTAATTTGACAAAATATTATTTAGTACCCAAATCCAGTATGTAGGTCATTATACAGCATGCCAATTACTATATATTACCAGGCCTTTACCATCAGTGTTTCAATAATTTATTTCATGTTTCAGTTTATTCCGACCAGGTTTATAGCATTAGCATTGTTGGCATTATGTAAAAAGTAGATAGCATCCTAATATCCAACAAAATAGGAATAACTATTCATCCCTATAAAGAGACTCATATTGACTTGTAGACATCATATATTTTCAGAAACAAATGAGTGTCTAACAAATAATGGTGGATGCACACATACATGCACTGATACCTATGGTAGTTTTGCATGTTCCTGTCCCGATGGTTTCCTCCTTAGTCCTGATAAGTTGACTTGTATTAATGAATCAACAATTGTAGGTGGGATATTTAATTGTTAATATCATGTTTAAAACTGTTCAAGAACCTTATTGTAACTACAAAATGATATATGGGTACCCTTTTGTATCACTCTTTTTACGACATACATCTCTGACCTCCAAGACCACTTAGAAAAATAAAAGTGAACGAATATGTACACTCTCAACCAAACCCAATTATTGACAGAGCATAAGAAATTAGATTGCAGACAACTTTATTTTTAACATCTGGAACGATGACATAACACAGTTAAACTGGACAAATACATTTTTAAACATAAACACCGGAGAAACATGACATTTTGAAATGAAATTATTTACTTTAGTCAACATTGATTATTCTTGGCTATACATTTCGAACAGATGCGTGTGACCCCAGTCCATGTAAACATGGTGGAAAATGTTCCCTTGTTAGAAATTTCCATGGTTTTGTGTGCGCATGCGAGGATACAGGATTCGGAGGCATTTTGTGTGAAAGAGGAATCTTAACGGCTTATGTAATTGATGATTCATTCAACTCTGGACAGAAATCAGGATCCATTCAAGTGCAGGCAAAGCCAGATACGAGTCTCACTGTTACTCCAACTGCCCCGGGACTCTCGTTCCTACCTCCATCCTTACAACTGACAAATGATGTAACATCCGGTGTATTTGACGTGAAAAGCATTTCGTCTGGAGTAAAAGCAATCAAGTTCATTCTCTCTGGAATTGATGCAGATATATTTGATTTTGTCGATGATTTGCAAGTGTTTGTCAAAGACGTATTTGCACGTTTAAAGCTAGCACGAAAGATTTTACCAGGTGGATGCTTTCCGCTAGCTTTAACCACTTGTCCAGCTGTGTTTAATGCTGAGATTGGACTATCTTCTACGGCGGAATGGTATCAGCTTAATTCAAATAAAAATGTTAAATTCACACTTGGAATAACATTTGTCGTCATCAATAACTTTCCGTTACCAATTTCACTTAGAGGGGTTCAAGTTGAGACTGGGTCAAACTGGAAACTTTCTCTGGTTAGTTCATACAGGAAGGAAAGTGATGGAGCACTCTTAAACACTCCTAAGAAGCCTGGGTGCAACATTTCACTAACTTTACAAGACATCCAAGACTTCGTTAAAGGAAACTCTTTTATCAACACATATTTTAATAGTTTGACGAACCTCCTCCCAAAATGGATAAGCATCCTTCCAACTGACAAAACCCTTCTTGGAACAACTAACTTGAAATCTAGTGTCATGACTGGAGAACAGCTATCCCTTATTAAACCATGTGCTGGAGCTCCTGTGTTAAAGGACAAGATATACTCAATATTCCGATTTGAAAAAGACACTAAATTGGTTGTTTTCGATCACGAGGTAACGATTCCTGTACTAAAAGGACAGCAGTTTTGTTTGATCGTAGATTTATGCCAAGACCTTGGCGGAACAGTTATTCTCATGTTTCCGACTCCACTGTCGAGGAGAAAACGAGATACTCACTCTGGTTGTGACATTCTTAGTAAAATACCAATGATTGGTGAAATTGAGGATTCAGCTGGATTTGATATATGTTTACGAGGAATAGGATTCTCTCTTACAAAACAATTGGCAGTCACGTCTCGTTTTTCAAAATCCCCAACTGCAATAAAATTATGGAATGGAGACCAGCATTTTAAGTACAAGTAAGTCGAGTCTAATTTATAGATGTTCTTTCAATTCTACCAAATTTAATGTTCTTCATAAAAAAGTAACATATCATTTTGATTCCAAAGAACCACACCGTATAAAAGGTTTATGTGCTTGGTATCTTTTGTTTCTACTGTGCTTTGTAAAATTTTCTGATCTGAAGAATACATGTAGGTACGCCAATCTCTTTTTGTTTAAAATTTTTTCACATTTAAATGCATGTTGAATTGACAAACTTCAACCTAGAATTTTTCAAATCCCAGCCATCGCCGTCAAAGATTTATTTATGAAATACAGCAAAACACCTCACCTTTCAGTCAAAATATCACAGAATTTTTACCGGCTAGTTTATGATTACAACACGTTTTCGTTGTGATGTTTTAATCGACGATGTCTTCTAAATACAGATTACCATTTGAGACATATGTCTTCTTTGAACCCTGGGGTTATCTACCCTCTTTGTATAGACGGAGTGGCAAAACGGCATTACATTTTGTGTTTATTGAACAATCCTACCACTACCAAGCACATTCATCCGCAGAAAATAATCCCAAATATTTTTCCATTCACTGTTATACTCACATGTTTTCCAGTTATTCTGTACACTTTGTGTCTGCATATTATAGTAATCTTTCCAAAGGTGCTGTAAACATCATAAATTGAAGCCCCAAAACATTTTTATATGTGTAAGAAGAACTAACGTAAATTGAGTTCGCTTTTCAGGAGCGGGACCGGGTTGGATACAACCTGTATCCATCCAGTTCCGAACCTCGGTGATAGCGAGATACAGAACAATCATATTATCCCGCTCCTTAGATACATTATATTTCAGCTAATTATGTACCTAAGTAGGTAAGAAATAGGCTTCTTTATGGTATTAAGTACAATATAATTTAGGTTATTTCCCACTGCTCATGTTTGGTTGGCTGGTGAAGCACATATGGCAAAAACCAGTAATGGACTTTCTGTAGACATTTCCGCAGACACCCAGATATTTGTGACTGTTCCAAATCCCATGAAGGTATGAGACTCCCTAACTTATACCTTGGTTAAACCTTGAACGATATTGACAAAAGGTTCCTCGTTTGTGAAGTAATTGGGGAAGTTATGCTACACGTTTTATGATAACTTATACGTGAATGTGTGGAATAATTGTCCCTAAAAAGTTATAAGTCATTACAATACGTGTTGGAAAATACTTTTTAAATGGATAACTAATACTTGCAGACAGTATTCCAACCGTATCCATATGTAAAAGGTCTGATCTCTCCGTATGGAATACCGTTTTAGCTGTGTGGATGTATAATTTAACCTATATAGTACGCTATAGTACTGTTTTGTTGTTACATAATTTTGTTTATTACAGATACTGACCCATGTATTTTTGGAGAAATGGAATGTTTTGGTCGAAGCGATAGGTGGCGCCGATGTTGCTGTGTCGTTTGAGCTATTTTCTGATACTTATACTATATCAATGCCTAAAACAGGATTAGTTGGAACATTTGCTCTGCTTGATATTGGTGGTAAGATATGTAATATAGACTTATTAAGTTAAGTAAAAGTGTATTGTTGTTTGGTAAATAAAGTTCCGTAAAACAACTAGTATTTCACATACCGGATAAACAACCGCTGTCACTGTTAATTGATCTTTCTTATTTCCAAGGCCTTCAGCAAAGGAAATGGTGCGCTCCAAATGCTAATCCACCTGGTATGTTCGCCTCGTTTTACCTAACCGTTAACCCATTCAGAGAAGTACCCATTCTGCAGGATTGGGTGTTCAATTTCGACGTTATTGCTTATGGATTTCTCACTTATGAAGTGTCCAATGATATGGAGAGCCTTCCAACTTATAGTATATGGAATGATCTACTTGAAGTTCAAGTTATTGTAGAAAATCTCAAGGCTCTAATTACTGAAAATATTGCAAGATTTCTGGAGACATTGACTTCAACCGCTGCTAATGTTATCAACACGTTCAGGGATGCAGTATCCGAACTTATTGACTCGATTAAGAACGCCATCGATGATATCAAAAATGGCAAATTTCCATCGATTCCTGATATAATCAAACCAGTGAAAGATGCAATCGATGACTTAAAAACCATATGGGAAACATTTAAAGATGAAATTGAGTTCGACGTCGATGCCCTGAAATCCAATATTACACAATTTATTGATAATGAAGTTGAGAGAATAAAGAACAATACTAAAGCACTGATTGAGAAAATAACTGGTCAGATCATGGATGTGACCGAGAACTATTCCGGATTTGGCTTAAAAGTATATGCGGACATTGCAATATTTGGCCTCCAATTTCCTTCTCTTGATGTAGAATTTGTGTACAGTGTTGGATCACTAGGGCAGTGTAGCCGGTTTAAATACATGTATGATCTACTAAAAGGGGAAAATGCATTGCGGGCAATGGCTGTATTTACCTTTCATAAGGAACTTGGATATTTTTTGAAAGTAGCAAATGGATATGGACTGGAGGTAGCATTCAGCAAGGAAGCTAAAATAAAAACTATTGTGCACTTTATCGCCAATGTTAATTTCCTTGGTCTGAAAGTACGAGTTGATGTCTTCATATCTCTGTTTAAGCTTGGGTTTGGTTTTGAGGCAAATGTGTTTGATGTATTTCGAGCAAGAATTGACGCAGAGGCTTCTGTCCCAGGGTTCACTCCTTTTCAAGATTTACTCTACAAAGTAACTGTTCAGCTTCTACCTGGTGGAGATGATTCGTTTGAAGGAAGTTTTGGTGATGCACTGAGGCGTGCTATTCAAAACATTGCAAACGCAGCAAATGATCGTTTAACCGCTGTACAGAATGGACTTGCAGCAGCAAGAGGTGGTCTCACAAAAGCGCAACAATGGTAAAAAGTAGCAATTTGATAATCTTACTTTGTAAAGCCTTTATCTAAACATACACACATTTCAAAGATTTTCAACAAATCATATCATTAATATGATTTGTTATTGGTTAGTGAAAACACAGAATCTTTCAAACCAATCGGTGATTCCTTATTGGTACAGATAACAAATATGGGGTCTTAATCTGATAAACTTATCATAGCATTATAATATATTACATTATTTTATGTTTTATTATATGATATTGTATTAAAGGCTCGAGGCGAAAAAGAATGACGTCGACAAAGCAAATGTAGTATTTGATAGAGGTGTTGAAGGACTGGAAAGGGCAAAGGATGCTGTGGAAAGAGCAAAGGGTCCATTAAAAAAAGCGCTAGACAAATTAGATGCAGCTCAAAAGAAAGTTGACAACCTTTGTAAGATTACAGATTGTAAGCCTGTGTGCATCCCTGGGATCAAATGCAAGATTTGTTGGAAGAAAGTATGGATCGCTAAGATACCATACCCATGTTGCCACTGGACAAAGTGTATGATTAAAGTTCCAAACTTACTTTGTCTTGCTAAAAACGCCGCATGCTGGGTGGTTAGGAAAATTGCTTATGGGACACTAGAGTTGGTCAAACTTGGTGTGAAGGCCCTTATGCTTCCATTTGACCTTGCAAAGGCAGCTCTTAGTGCAGCTCAAATCATTGTCGACAAAGCCAGAATTGTATTAGAAGTTGCCAAAGGTATTCTCACTCTTGCTCAGGTTGGACTGGAAGGAGCTAAAGGCATTTTAAAGGGGGCTGAACTGGCTATCGAAATTGTTAAAGTAGCCGTTAGAATTGGTCTAAAAATCGCTGGCTGGATAATCCAATTTGGTCTGCAGAGTCTTATAGATATCAAAAAATGTGGATTTTCAGTTGAACTGTCAACTAAAGATTTGTTCGTCATCGATTTATTTTGTGAAATCAATGCATTCAGACTTGGTTGGAAGAACATTAAGATAACTATCAATTTTCGCAATATATTAGAATCACTATGGAATGCAGCGAAGGCTGTCATCAATTACCTGACTAGTTTAATTTCCTTTGGACGTAAGAAGCGGGAAATAGAAAACAAGCAGACTCACGTTGTCCATAGATTGTATCGAAAGTTTCGCGACGTTGAGGATTTAGATGATCTTATTTCTAATGATATAGATAGTGATATTTTGGCAAATATTGTGAACAGTACGATTGATGCAACAGAGAAATATGAAACACCGAATAAAACTGCAGATGAAGATGAAACTACAATAAGAATCGAAGATTTCAAACAAAAATGTAAACAATTCAAAAGAATTGAGGAGTTTCTCGCTAAAGCTGCCCATTCTCTTTTTGAAATCACAAATGACACAATAGCAGGAATTGATAATTCCAAAGATGATTTGAACAAAAATGAACAGAACTCTTCAGATATAGGTTCTATTGGGGTCAACATGGATGAACTAACAATTGACGATTTGGGAAAGCTTGGCATCAATGTAACCGATGCTTTTATAAACTATGGAATAACTTCTGAACAATTGATGGCAACAATAAAGGAGGCAAATATTGATCAAGATGAGTCTGTGAGCGAACTTAGTAGCACTATTGACCGGGCGAATATTGAAAGTGAAAAACAGTTACAGAATGCCAAAACTTTTCCTCTTATGTTATTGTGGCGAAACGGAATGGACAATGCAACTGCAACTTTTTGGGAGGAAGATAGATGCAGTGGGTTTAAAGACTGTGTGCTTATTTGTTTTTCGGAACTGTTTGAACTATACAACATGACAAATGCACCCGGTGCAGAAGAAATGAAATACATGACCCTCGAACTCGCTGAATTATTTACTGACATTATTGATAGTGAAAATATTTCAAACAATAAGGCAATGGAATTGTCGGACAGGATTCTGGAAGTTCTTAAAATCGCAAAGGAGAAAAAAGTGTTTTGCGCTTCTGCTCCACAAATTACGATACCAACTGAAGTTAATGTTGAACCTGGCAAAAATGTTGTCATTGTTTGTAAAACAACCGGAGACCCGAAACCGATGATATATTGGGAACGTGACGGGGAACTCTTAAATGGATCAAACATTGATACTATCGATACAATTGCAAGCTTGGATTCTGAAGGAGAGTATACATGCGTGGCATCTAACCACGTTGCTACGGTTAGAGCAAAAGTTTATATTCGTTTAGTCGAGTCACCTACCATTGCGGAACATCCTAAATATACGGTGGCTACAGTTGGAAATCCAAGTGGTGCAGAATTTCATTGTGTTGCTAATGGTATACCAAAACCAACTATCACATGGAGACGGGTACTAGGCGGTGGGACGAGTGAACAACTGAATTCGACTGGAGAGCAATTAATCATATCATCTCCTCAATTGTCTGACGCTGGCAAGTATTTGTGCGAAGCAAAGAACAGCCATGGAAGAGTGTGGTCTAACCAAGCACGACTACAAGTAATTGCAGCTGTAGTAGCATTTCCTGGCGTAAATCTGAAACTCAGCTATATTAAAATGAGTGAAGGATATAACAGTACACACACGGAGTACAGGCACCCATTGGTATACCATAAAAGAAAAAAGTCATATATCAAACGGGCAATTAAGAAGATTTTACGAGAGACAGAAGAACCTTCCTTGGTTGTCCTGCACAGTCTTACAAGCAATGGTAATACTGATGGTGGGACTATCGACCTAGACATGCGTATCGGTGAATACAAACGTATATACGGAGAAGATTACGATGACATGCAAGCTGTATTCAAAATATGGTCGAATTTGTTAGACAGGATATTGAGAAGATTTGCGGAATTATCAGACAACGAGCAGATTTTGACGAAACAGACTGATGTTGTAACATATTATGCCTTGGACCGTTCGCAATTCGTGATGAAACGAAAAACTCAGTGTCCTTATGGACACGAACTGTACCCAAAAGACAATTGGAATATGATATGTGGTTAGTATTTGGGTCAATTTTTTTCTCTTTCTAGTCATCTATTGTTAGAGTTGACAATATAATAACTATCTTGATCTTGGTTAGAATATACTTAAAATAACAGCAGAGCGATTCATTTCCGCTGTTTTGAAGTGCCTATATAGACTTTAAGACTGAATTTTGTCTATCCCACATCATTTTAGACTGAATGCTCCATATTGTATGAATACCAAGCTGGACACCAATATCAAAAGTTATCCGATTTTTGTGATTATGAGTCGAAAAGCATTCTTGAGTTTCAAATTGACTCATGTTATAACTTGAAACCATCTTCTAATTTATTCCACTAACCTTTTATTGTTTCTCCAAATATATTCTTTGAAAATCGGATTTGAAGGGTGTTAATCAGGGCAATTCTCTGCCATTTAAATCTTCTTGCTCCCTAGAAACGAGAAATTGTTATCTTGTTTTAACCTAGAAACGAGCAATTGTGATGCCACGTCACCTTACTGTAAATTCTAGAATCACATGGCAGCCATTTTGAAAATTTCCCAATTAATGCTGTTTACAAATTGGAAACTATTGCAGAATCAACCATAGGTTTGTGAAACAATTAGGATAAGGTTTCAAAATTATGCACAAGACAATACATAACTTCTAAATGCAGGCAGGGACTTTTAATTGCCAAAAAGTTGAGTATCAAAAAGCATTGGTATCTACCTTAAATTAGTATCTACAACTATTTTTGATTTTTTTGAGTATTGGCTATCAATTCTATTTTTCTTCAACATGTATCGTAATGACTTCAGTTTGAATGAAATGTATTTTGGTTTTATGATCTCGAGTGATATTTGGTACCTGAATGGTAGGGGAGGGGGAATTAAACTCTTTTCACGTTGAATTGTGATTTGGGATAATTGGGGTTTAATTTCTTTATGACTGGTCTACTCTTAGATTTTTTCTCTTTCTTGCTGTATTTCTCAAGCAATTTTGGTGTTTTTCCGTTGGCACCTGCGTTAATATATGTTTAATTTTAATCATTACCATTTTTAATAATTGCAATGCATTTCTGTTGTATTTCTAGTTCCGTGTCACAGGGATACGTCGTTCACATTGGTTGGTCAGCGTAAAAAGCGCTGCATTCGAACATTGAGGAGAATGAAAGCGTAAGTAAATACATGTAGTTCATTGAATATATATATTAGATGTATTTTCCCTGATAACACATGCCTCTTGAACTATTTTGGCATTTAATTTTATTTGGATGGCAAAATCTGTCCAGAATTAAAAATGGCTTCATTACTGTTATAAATCACTGCCTTGTCCATGCAATTCTATTTGAGCTTACCATTGACAAATGTTCTGGCAAGTCATATAGTCTATGAGATTTCTTGTTAGTGTTATATCTCCATGACTGGTGCTATTTATGCCAAAAGTTGGCAAAACATTAACAATGAAAGTGCAGTATAATTTTTTAATGAGGTTATTCCATTGATGATATCCAATTATCCTTATGCAATTTGACACAGCGTGTATTCGCGAATGCAACTTTCGGCTGTCGGCTTACCGGATAAACCTATTAATTTTCATAAATCAACCAGTCATTTTGAAGTTGATCTAACGAACAACCCATTAGTCGACGACCAGTGATCAGTGATCGCATGATCTTTTTGCCACTGTCACGATCCATTATAATGAAGCCATTCAATTGAATTAGCGAACAGATCATAGGCCAATGTTACGTGCTGTTAAACAGGCAGCAATTGGGCTTAACGTGTTAGAACCATTTACTGGGATACAAGGTAGATACTATTCATATTTAAATGAGTTTGCCATCAAATTGCAATCAATCCGATAGCTGCTAGCCGAAAACTGCATGCGCGAGTACACATTTGCAAATTGAAACCTACTTCTGCAACTTGACCTAATTTTGAAAGATAATTGCTCGGAATGACCAAATTAGCCAACCGAATAGTGCCATTTTAACATCTGTTACTCAAGAATAGCATGTCCACATTTTGTATGATCTAAGTGAACACTATGATTTCAGGAGAAACAAAATGAACTTGCGTTTGCTGAGCAACCCGTAAACTAAAGGCGAAGACTACGGCATGGCAGTCTATATTCGACACATTAAAGATGTGTACAAACTGTAGTTTACCTTCGTTTGGCATCATATTGAGACCAATTTATATAATAACCTCAAGTTTGCGAAGACATTTACCAGTTTATATCCAAGAGTCAGAATGGCACTAAGACAATGATTGCGCTGCCTTTGAAAAATGTAAAGTTATTATTAAAGAAAATGAGAAGTAATGATGACAAGGATGATGTGAACACAATTTAATCAGAGTACGGGGATAATGCATGTAGCGCAGAAATAATTACAATCTATGTAAGCCTATGTAAATGACGTTTAATGGGATTGGAATGGGATTTCAAAATGTTGCCTAATATTAGAACGATGTCACAAAAATGTATAATACAAATATTTGATTCTATTAAGGTGAATACCTGTGCATCTTTGGTGATATTCCACCAAGCCCGATGGGCTAGAGGATTATCACCTTTTGAAAGTGTCACAGGTATTCAACGAAAATAGAATTACATAATATTTGTTTTATTATTCACTGTTATATTTCTTATTCACATGAATGGAATAACAAACTAATGATGTCTAATTAATCGTAACAATGTACTCCCAGGGAGATATAAAATTAAAATTACACTGGACAAAGTCGTAACTGGTGACGCTGAATATCGCTTGTGATCGCGTGTAGAACATTGACCAATTAGAGAGTGAGGAATATGACAGTGATATAATAATATTAGTTATTATTACCACCTTGCCAGGCCAGTTCTAGGGGTTTAAGTGCTAGTTTAGAAGGCGTTTATTTTACTATATCGACCTGAGAAATGTGTGACGTCATAGTGGTGGTCCATATGGACCGGTCTAGAATATATTCTGGACCGGCAATTTTCCCCGGGAAATTAGATATCGTTCAATGCGTAAGATTTTCTTGCTGTTTCAGTCCTGGTCGTTAACGGTGGTAATAATACTAATAACGTCATTTCTGCGAGCGATATAGTGAACTATTGGACCTTGGGCCTTCGGCCCTTGCTGTTGGTCCAATACTTCACTATATCACCCTTAGAAATGACGTTATTGTACTATTATTCAGGATATTTTGTCATAAATATTGCAAAACAAAACTCAATTTATTTCGATTTGTTTTATGGCTTTAATTCCCAAAATATCCACAATTGACATACCGTCACTCCTAATACTTTTTGAAATACATCAACTATTCAGTGTGATTTTCTTATTTTACAAAAGGCATTTTTACATATCAAATATATGTTTTATTTAGAATCCTTATCATATTTTAATTAAGGATTTGTTTGATGCTTCATTATTTTCTATACAAACAATTCATTTTCAACTTTGTTGTGAATTTCAGTTAATTGAAATGAATGAATAAAAATAATCAAAAGTTCTGAGATCAACAAAATGCATCAAAAGTCAATAAGTTTATTATTTAACTTTCATCTCTATTAGCGTCAAACTGTTTAACCACCTGTTTTCATCATGTTTAAATCGCAGTGTTTTAATATTGTTTGACATATGAAGGTGATAACGATGCGCGATGCATATCTCTATTATTTCAGGATTTGTTGCTCTATGCCTTTATATTCAAGTTGTCGAATGGTAAGATGATCATATACATGTTTATAAAACAGTGTCTAAAATAAGATTGTTACATTTATATGAATAAAACTATATTTAAGATTATACATACAAATATCTGCGATAACTTTAAACAGGCTTGAATGCCTTAATAATATTTTTTCAATTTGAAAGAAGCTGCCCAGAACGTCAATGATATTGTACTTTAAATTATAGCGGCTGGTGTACGAGTCAAAGGCAACGAGTAGAACAGTACACAGTGCGAGTATCAGGTTCACGGGCGAGTAGATACTCCACCAAATGCGGTTTCGGAGGTTGGAAGAGGTGTACAAGATACCGGTAGGTTGAGATGCGATCAGTCATGAGCCTAAACCTTTATGATTACATTTTTATAAAAAAAATTAAAAGGCCTACGTTTACTATTGTACATTATTTCAAATACAGTTTCAAATACCAATTGGAATTATGTTTAATACTCCATGTCTTGTGATATATATATAAAAAATTGTATTATAGAGTTTGCATATATCTTTGCAGATACCACACCACATATTCGAGTCAACCAAGAGCAAGAACGGTAACACATTCAGTCCGAGTCTGCTGTTCCGGATACAAGGGATCAAATTGTGATATTCGTAAGAACTTTATGTCATCTTAGTATACAGGGTGTCCGGAAAGTAAAGATACAAATGCTCTTGTTTTAAGAGATTTGGGTCTTTTGAAATGAAACTGCTACAGATTGTAGAGCAAGATTATTACAATATATCTACCAATTTTCATCACATATAGTCTTAGCGTGATCAAGTTACGGTTGTTATGGTTACGGCTGTGAGGGGTATGCGGAGCAGTTCCAGAACATTGCTAAAATGTCAAAAATTGCTAAAATACAATCATCTGAAACAGCGTTTTTTGTCGTATTTTCTATCAATGTTTTGCTAAATTTTGTTTGTTGTTTGTATTATTACTGCCATAGTTTTTCTTTTATATAATGATGTCATTGTTACATATCAGAACTATTTTATTTCACTAACCAGTATAATCAAAGAAATATCATACAAGTGTTTAGAGCCTCTGGATTTAGTTGGAAAGTCAATATTGCATCTCCATAATACACCCATTCTCAAAGCAAAGAAAACAATTCTTACAATGGATTGTCTTGACATTAAACCTTCCTATGCAATGCCCCATATTCACCTGATAGAGCCTTTTTTGACTTCTACCTAATGACCATCTGAAAGCAATATTTGTAAGAAGTTCGACATACAAAATGAGTCTCAGCTGGAAGTCAATGCTATAAGCAATTTGAGAGACGGACAGCAATGATTTTGTCAAGTCTTTGAATCGGCGGTCAAGATGCACCAAAAATGTTTAGATAATGGGGAAAATATTGAATATTCAATGATAGTAGTTATATTAAGAGATCAAATAATGTTACAGTACTAGTCCTTATGCTGTTGTAGTACATAATTTGATGTAATATAGAAATAAATGGAAGAATGCCAAGATGCTATGAGCAGGAAAGAGATTTGTAAAACACATATGTGACGTTGCTCCACATACCCTTGACTCCCGTTACCATAACGACCATAACTTTTTCATTTTAAAACTAAAAGCCATGACCGTTGCAGGATATATTGCTATAATGTCATTCTACATTCTGGAGCAATTTCATCTCATAACATGTAAATCTCTTAAAATGAGAGCATTTGTATCTTTACTTTCCGGACACCCTGTAGTTCAGGTGCTGCTGAGTGAGAAACGCGTTTTTAGTCACATTAAATTTCATTTTAACTGGTGTTTTGAGTAAGTTAACTTCAATTACGGGATACATGGTAGTTCAACGTTACAAAAACTAATATAATTTGCTTGATTTTTACATGGTGTAGCAATATGTAATGGAGGGGCACCATGTTTCAATGGCGGGACGTGTATAAGACCAAACTATTGTGCATGCCGATCGGGATTTGCGTCGCCTTCGTGCACAGGTAAGTCGATTTTAGCACAAAATGTGACGTAAATACAACGCACAATGGTACCTCTTCTCAGTTAAAAGTTTGTAAGAAAACGTTCATCGTGCAAATGCAAAATTTAGTGCAATAAATAAAGTTTTAATGAAGAAAAACGACGTCAGGTTTGTCTACTTTCTACACGTTTGCGTGAAAGTTATAGGTAATATGAAGTACATTTTAGTGTACATGAACGTGTTTAATTATGGTCTTCTAGGGACTAGTTCTCCCTTTGGTATTAATTGCATACTTTCTCAATTGAGGAAATTGATCGTGTGTTTGTAGCTTTTCTGAATTCATGTTAAAATATAAGGTGCACTAATAATGGAAATACCCAGAACAAATCTTCTGCAGACGCCATTTTGCATAGGTTGTAGAACTTGATCTGGTCACATTAAATTTGAGAATCATGTTCCCGTACAGCTGGACAGAACGCGAACTTGTTTTAACGCGAACGTAAGCGTGAACACACACGTTCTGGTTCACGTTTGTATATTAACGTGTAGCTTAACCTCTCCATTGATAGGTGTTCTGATTTCTGTTTTATTTGACGGTCATTCCCTTCCCAGAATGTTGTAATGTGATATTCATCAATAACATGAATGTTTGACCAAATATCGAAATTATAACATGATTCGTCACTTTTAAATTCTAGCATGATTCATAAATCTGCTTGTCATCGTGATAGTAGAATATTTCTACAATTGATTGCCAACTAGAACATATTGCAATAATGTTTTAAACAACAAAGTGAATTCCAAATGCCGTGACATTTTGCACGTGACAACACTTGTATACCTAATTGCATAGAACATTATTTCTAATTAACTACTTAGGTAAAATATATTTACTAATACCTATACTCATTGATATCGATAATAGTGATGCCACGATTCGATTTTACTCTTTAGATGAGCCTTTGAAGCGTTTCTCTTTTTGATCTGATCCCGTTTACCTAAAAACAACAGTGACATTCCAAGGAGAATTGG